AGATAAAGAGAAAAGCAAGGAAAACGATGATGAAGTACAACAACTCAACAACTGAGAGTAGATATAAAAATAATGTATTCAATGTATGATTTTCATAGTTAACAAAGTTACTGCTTAATTTTGTATCACACAACAAGTTGGTTTACTATACATGAGTTTATGATCACTACGCTAGTAGGGATTTTATCATTACACTTAAGTGAATCACAATAAAATTTATTTGATCTTGATCAATATCACGAGACATCAAAGATCTATTTCCTTTTGAGTTCGATAACCCTCAATAGTACACATAAATGACATTACAATAGACTGAACGTAATTGTCTCTAGACGATACTTCCATACTTGTTATGTTCCATGATGATTATCACTTAGATCAGAGGGGGGTTTTGTGGAGAATTTAGTATTTTCACAGTTAAAATCATGAGTCAATTGAAGCTAGACCGTGGATGCGCACTGCTGAGGAGTCCCATAATAGGACGAAACGACCGTCCAGTGCTTCCAGGTTTTCGATAGTGGTCTAGCTTCTATTGATTCATGATTTCAACTGTGAGATTATCATTTAAACTAGACTAACCATTCATTGTACACCATTTAACTTAATGATTAAAAACTCTCTTTGAATAAAAAATTCAAATACGTTTGTTTCTAAAACCACCATAGTCGATTGAAAATTCAACACTTATGTTAAACCAATAAGATGAGTTAGACTAGAATGTAACAATAATGGAAGCTGATAAGTAGAAAAATATGCTGGGTTCGAGTTCACTTATTAGACTAATAATATAATGAATTTTCTAGATGGAACTTATCTTACAGTGTTTATATTCACTTGGCATTATTTGCTTGTATCTTTCCATTGTTTTTTAGGATTGCAATTGATCATTCTCTTGTTGGCATATATGCATACTGCCTCGATATTGCCTGAAGTCACAAGCTTTATAAACAAAGATGGATAGTGGCTAGCAGTGAATTCAGGATGCGCATTTCGTCCTATTTAGGACTCGTCAGCTGAATTTATGTGCATCTCAGAGTTGATGTTTACTCTGGAACTCGAATCCAGTACCATTCGCTTCAAATGCCATCACGTTATCCATTTAGCTACTGATTCCTGATATTCATCTGCTTGTGCAATGAGGTGAATTTTAAATTCACTTGATATTGTTTACTTGTATCTTTACAATGTTTATGTCTAGTTTTGATTTTATTGACATCTACCTCATTTATTTGTACAAAACTAATGTTTAATGTTGACAAGTAATAAGCATTCAAAATTCATCTGATCTTGATTTCTAGAATTTTAAAAAAAACTTATATTCGATAACAAAATGTATTTGTAACGTAATGGGAATGGGTCTCGTAACAATGAATTCAATTTAAGTTATCTAACCATAGTTAAATAAGTAACGTTAATTGATTCATATCAAATAACTGTATTTCAGGTAAAACTTGAAAATAGACCTCAAATTGTATGATATAACGGCATAATAAAAGTGCTTTTCCGTTTACCACAACATGTTGGTTATATAATCTGCTTTCGAGATTATACTAACACAAGATTGTATACTCTATCGATACATTCACTATACGATTTAGGCAATTCACGACTAAATATTTGTGAACTAGAGTATAAGCTAGATAATAGATTTATTTGACTTAACACAAACAGCCTATAAACAGAATGAGTCTAAAATAAGAATGAATAGTAGAAACAAGTTCATATCATTAAATAGTTAGTAAGCTGAATATCTATCGATCTGCGCTCAATGGTCAAACACATATTACTTTCATTGGCCGCTAATCAACATAGTTTAGGAAAATCTTGTCAGTACTTAACATTAAATACTTAAAGATCCTGCTTCCAATGACAATTGATTGATCACTGGGTGGTGATCAATATCATGCGTGTCAAGTCCGTCTTAGTTCTGATCGAATGCTATCGATGAAGTTGCAATGTGGCCACTACTCTAGGTGGCTCGACAATGCGTGGACTATGTTGAGATAAGATGGTGGGATCGAATCCGTCAGGGAGCACCAGTTCCCTCAAGAATATAGGTACACCTTGCTGACGAGTGCCAAGTAACACGAAACCCGGGTCCAGGGTTTCCTGTTGATCACCTCCAACCACCATCTTATCCTGCTTCCAATCTCAGATGAGGGTTATAGATTAGTGCTGTTAAGTAGTTTTATACTAGAATCAAATAAGTGTTCAATTCTTTCTGATTAACTCCATTATTATATAAAAACTTGCCAAAACTCATAAACATAGGAAAAATGAACTCTAGTTCAATTCTTCTAATGATTATATAAGTTAACAGCTATTCATCTTACTACTTAATATATATGGAAGTATACTTATTCTATCCTTTTTGAACAATTGAACTAAGATAGTTAATTATGTATATCATATAAGACTTAATTCCTATGGGTCTTTATTAAGATGTTATTATAACTGATAAACTGCTTGATGACTTGACGTTGGTAATTAAAAATTTAGGGTGCATAAGGAATATAGATGATATAATCTAAGCCTTATATATCATAAATCGTTCTACTGAAATGTTCAAGATACTTTTATTAAAGTAGAATAGGTATACATGACTGTGTAACTCATCGGTTATTCAATGTTCAATGTGTTTTTGCAGTATGAAATTATTTTCGGGCAACTTTCATTAATCTAATGAGTGAATGGTTCACAAAAGAACATAATTTCCAATGAGGATTTCATTTCAAACTTTAACTTGAAGTTCATTTTCTTTTTTTCATTGAACAAGTTGTAGTGCTCTAAAGTGATAAACTCATAGTATGGTGTGTGCTACTGACGTCGACAGATATAAGTAGTATATATCATCAATTGAAAGCGAAATATCTGGATTCAGAATGTTAAGAGTAACAAAGAAAAGATAACCGGAACAGTGAATAATTGGTGTGGAAACGAAAGAACAATGAAGTCTGTGACAAGTGATTGGCATTTTACAGAAGAGACAGTCAAGTTTGAGACAATCGATTGAAATTTTTCAAATGAAGTATTCACTATATTAATTACTTGTTACTTACGCCTGTTACCCCCAATAAAACATTCTCCAGACCACTCTATCCTGGGCCTTTTTTTAATTCTAACCAATTGTTGTTCATTCTTCTCATATCTGTTTCTATTTCTCGGAGTAATGTGTTCTTTGGTCCCTCTTCTCCTTTGACCTTGAGGATTCAAAGCGAGGACTTGTCTTGTGACGCAGTTGGGTGATTTCCTCAATGTGTGTCCTATCCACTTACAGCATTTCTTCCTGATTTCGTCCTCCGCTCTCCCACAGTAGCTTGTTGCTGATAGTGTTTGGTTCTCACATTTTACTAATATATTCTGTCCCCACTTGTGTTCGCGTTCACTACAATAGTATACTTATTGAACTAATTAGAATTAGTTTTATAAATAAAACATTCAAGCAAAATAATTATGAATTTGAGTTATTTAACATTTGAATGAATAAATAACTAAAGATGAAAATTGTAGGTCACATAATGCAATTAATCATAAATTAACTTTTTAATACTTGAGATCATAAGTCAATTGAATCTAGACAACCATGGAAAACCTGGAAGCACTGGACGGCCGTTTCGTCTTATTTCGTGACTCCTTAGCAGTGCGTATCCACGATCCTGCCTCGCGAGATTTGGACCCAGGAGGTCAAGCATGGCAGTGGAATTCAGAACATACGTTTCATTCTACTTGGAAGTCATCAGATGGATGTACCTGCATCTCATAGTTGATGTTTACTCTGGGACTAGAACCCGGTACAGTTCGCTCCAAACTCCGTCGTGTTATCCATTTAGCTACTGAGTCCTGATAGCAACCTGCTTGTGCAATGAGGTGAAGTTTAAATTCTCTTCGTATTTCTTGTTTTGGATCTTCTCACTGATGTTTAGTACTGCAACTGGTTAGTTGCTTATTGGCATATGTACGTAAATCTTGTACCGATTGCCTCGATATTGCCTTAAGTCACAAGCTTTATAAGCGAATGGTACTGGGTTAGAATCCCAGAGTGAGCATCAACTATGAGATGCAGGTACAATCAGCTGACGAATGTTAAATGGGATAAGACGCGCGTCCTGGATTCTACTTCTAGCCACTATCCATCTTTGCTTATAAAGCTTGTGACTTCAGGCAATATCGAGGCAGTATGTTTAGTATGCACATATGTCAACAAGAGACTGATCAATTGCAGTCTTAAATATCAATGGGAAGATTCAAGTAAAAAAATACTAATATGATAAGAATATAATAAGAAAAATTTCACATTTTCTGTCAAATAATCACCAAAAATCAAGTCAATAGGAAGTACAACCAAAATAAAGAAGTAAACACTGACAGATTTAAGATCAACATCGAAATCTACTGGACATTCTATGAACCATATGTGAAGAAATTCGAACAGTTCACTTCTCCTTGAATTTTATACTAATGATGTCATTCAGAGAATAACAGTGTAAGCTTCACAACCAAACCATCCAACCGACTAAAAGCATCAAACTGTCTGATCTTTTAAATGACTAGATATTATAGTATTGTTTTGTCTGAAAAATACTTTCTATCTACAAGCTTACTTGTTGTAACCCCCCTTGCTTACGCAGAATCATTATATGACACTGTCATTCTGTTTTGTTTGAACAGATTTACTTTTATTAAAAAAAAACACGGATGGGGACAGTCGAATGTATTTAACCACAAATTGCAGACTAACTCACTAAATTCTGATAACCATTCAATAAACAGTTAATTTGTAAAATAACAATCAATTGTCACAGTCTCGACTGCTGCTTCTGCAAATATCAGTCCGTTTTCTCTGATTTCATTAATTATGCATTTTCGTACCGATTGCGCTCCATTCCTGTTTTTTCTTTATCGATCTTCTGCCCAAGTACATTCTATGTATGACCATCACCATATATTACTTATGTGGATATAAATAAACCACACCACAGTTATGCAATGACTCTTTGTAGCATTCGTAATTGTTTGTGGGTTTAGGTAGAGTGGTTGATTAAATCGATCTCCACCACTCGTGTTACCGCTCACGTTAGTACATGAGATCAGTGCCATGATCCAGGAGGCACGACGAGGACGTGTGAGTCGGATTTTGTCTCCCTTTCTTTTATATATATACCTGAATTCATGTGACTTTGGCATAGACAATAGACCATAATAAAATGTCTGCCAATCATTTCTTTAAAAAAAAATTTATTTATAAATTACCCATTATGATAATAAAAATTACACTAAATTATAGATTATAAGTATGTTACTACTTGTGACAATAATTTAAGTAGTACCAATAGTGATAATTAGTAGGCTGAAACCATATCTCTATTATCAACTTAGATATATATCCATATACATATATTTAATGTTTACAAACTTAACTATTATTTGTACAAACATATCTATGCTCTACTAATTCAAATGAAAACCGGATGTAATATTTGAAAAATCCGATTATTAACTTGGAATCATAATTAATAAGCTTGAGAGACAAATATTTAACGTCTGTATGTATATGTATACACCTATGTAATACAACTATATGTGTGATCATATGAAACGATAAACTTTCCGAACTAGGTTGAATTCATTAAGCATCTATCATCTCTGGGGTAAGTGTATGTATATAACTATTCACATACCATTGCATATATATATATATATATATTCAAGAAAGACGAGGAACTACTTATCACTCCTCTAAATAAACAATAAATAAGACCAATAACTTCTTTTAAGTCTCCGGAAAAAGGAATGACTGGTCATCATCATCATCATTATCATCATCAATACAAATGTTTTTATTCATTATTCAATATTCTATGGTTCTTTTTATTCATTGAATTCATTCAAACAATTGATAGAACAGAATTAAATGAATTAAATATGTATGATCCAATGAAATGTCGTTCTGGAAATTATCGTGGCAAAGTTAATATAGCTTTTGATGGAACAGAATGTTTAGATTGGATAGATCATAAATCATTTTATAAACCATATTGGTCTGATGATGAAGCAAGAAAACATAAAAATTATTGTCGTAATCCAGGAAATGATTCTTCTGGTCCATGGTGTGTTGTTGGTATAGGAAGATTTAAATATTGTGATGTACCAAGATGTGGTTAGTTATTTGTTATACATTTTTTTTTCTTTCTAAACGAATATTTTGATTTCTACGCTTATGCTGATATGTGCTACTCACTCAAGGTTCCTTTATTATTATTATTATTATTATTATTATTGTCATTGTTAATATTAGTAGTAGTAGTAGTAGTAGTAGTAGTATCAGTATTAGTATTAGTGTAGTGAATGAGAACACGGGTAGGAGCAATCGAATGTATTTAGACACTATCTCACTATATTCTGATAACCATACAGTAAACAGTTAATTTGCAAAGTAACTACCAATTGTCTCAGTCTTAACTGTTCCTTCTGAAAATATCTGTCTGTCTTCTCTGATTTCATTGTTCATACATTTTCCTGCCAATTGCGCTTCATTTTAGTTCTTTCCTTATCGATCTTCTGCCAAAATGCATTCTACGTCTGACCATCACCATATACTACTTATAAAAATATAAGTAGACCACACTACATTAGTACTAGTATTTTTATTAGGTCTGTTTAATATTTGGTACAATATAGAATTCTCAGCACAAAATATTTCAACAAGTTTCCTTTCCTTATTTCTTCACCTATCCTGATGATAAATATTGAGTGATCACTAGTTAGACGTTAATAGTTCAGCAATCGACATCTGAACAATGATTATTCTTTTTAATGCATATTGACATCTATCACGATTTCTCTGATTGTACGGCGAAAGATCGTATACTTTTCATAAACGCTCTTAAATAGGTCATGTGATTAGTAGATATAATGATGTGTTAAAACAAACAAAAGTGAGGTAACTTGTTGAGATATGTTGATGTCAGGAACAGATAGCTCAGATATTCAAACAGGTCGCCAAAGTTCTATATTTCTGAATATAATGACGTAGACAATAAGGAGAAATGGTTGTTGACCCACTTTTAAGATGTTACTTGAATTCAAAAGTTCAGATGTTCTTGTTTGACATGGAATTTCTTTATTTTAAGCGAGAATGTAGGGTTTCATATACTAGATAGTGTTTTAATTTGGGATTCATCCCTATGTATTCTTTTCCTAAGATAGTCGTTATAGAATATGGTCAGATAACTACAGTAAATCAAACCAGTATTAAAATGTTTTTGAATTTTAAAAAATCATTCTAACTACTGTATCATCCATTTTTAAAACTAGTCACGACCCAAAGACCTCACATCACACGTTGAACCATTAAATTTACTGAATTTTAATTCAATGACATAAACTTTTAGCTTCAACTAATTTAACATTTATAGTAAGATGGTCATTTAATGAAATTTGTAACAACTGTATCTACTTTATAAGCAAAAATAGATAGTGGCTAGTAGTGGAATCCAGGACGCGCGTTTCGTCCTATTCGGGACTCGTCAACTGAATTTATTTGCATCTCATAGTTGATGTTCACTCTGGGACTTGAACCCAGTACCATTCGCTTCAAATGCCATCGCGTTATCCACTTAGTCCTAGAGTGAAAATCAACTATGAGATGCACGTGAATCCAACTGACGAGTCCCAGATAGGACGAAACGCGCGTCCTGGATTCCCTTAATAACCACTATCTATCTTTGCTGACGAAGCTTGTGACTTAAGGCAATATCGAAGCAATTTGCACAGTTTGTGCATATGTCAACTAGATAATGATCAATCGCAGTCCTAAATAACAATGGGAAGATAAAAGTATACAACACCAAGTGAATATAACTGTATCTATTGCTGAAAATCTTCATACTTGGATGAATCAACTATTTAGTATTCTTTCGCTTTCAATGGGACCCTAAATAAGATCAATTCATAACTATTTATTTCTATACTAGACTGACTTGAACTGTAGATATATAAAATAGGAAATGTTAAAATCTCAATAGAACATATAGATTAGCCTAAATTAAATGAAGGTCTTTGAGTAATTAGTCGAATTCTTCTTAAATCTGACAAAAAATTTCATAGTTTTCTGGTGTCAACAGATATAAGTAGTATGTATCATTAATAGAAAGTGAAATGTCTAGAGGCAGAAGGTTAAGAAGATAAGATAAAATCAGATAAGATCAAAGAAAAGATAACCAGAACATAGAATGATTGGTGTGAAAATGAAATAACAATGTAGTCTGAGATGATTGATTGACATTTTGTAAATGAAGTATTTACTATATAGTTCTGAGATTTTTCTGAGATGTTCTATAATTTTATGTTCATATACATTCGACTGTCCCCACTTATGTTTTCGTTCACTACAGTTTACATTACGGATTAATGTTATTTAGACACTCGCTGAAAATCAGAAAGCACTGGACAGCTGTACCTTCCCATTATGGGACTACTCAACAGTGGACAGACACTATCCCTTCCAGGGTCTGACCCAGCATTTTCAGGTCGAATAGCAAGAGCTTAGTCTTAGCTTAGTATCTAAATTTTAGACATTATCAGTATAAGTCAGTTAATTATTAGAAAAATATTCTAAACGACAGTGAGTACCGTCCGATGATGAACTGCCATACTCAGTTGAATCCTCAAAGTAATTATAAATAGTTAATATTGGTAATGTGGGTAGTACTATGAATGAGGCATTAAAAGGTTCCAATTTAAAGTCGTCAAAAAATGATAGTTTTTTCCAACTTAACAACGGTAAATTAACGATCTGTTTTATAGGACTGCTCTCAATCGATACCAGTAGGAAATCCATTGACCAACATAGATGATTAAACATATAAAAATCTTAAAATATCGACACACTTAAGTTTGTCATACATTGGATAAACAAGTCTCCATGTATGAATCATGAATATACCGACTGATAGGGTAAAGAAAGCAAATTATACATTGCCAAAAAATGTACTATGTGATTGCGATCGTAAATCGATCAATGTTAGACCATCAGTGAAAACCTGGAGGCTGTAAACGGCCGTTTTGTCCTAGTATGAGATAGTTACCCACCAAAGACAATGGAAGATGGTCGCGCAATTTCGTGAATTGGTTGAAATTAGACATTAACACCATTGGATGCTAACCCAGTGGTCTAGAGGTTGAGAAAGATCGAATGTCCTAATTTCGAATTTCTACAATCTCTACAAATCCCCATACTGAAAATCATGTTTTCACTAATGACTAGCTTCAAGATGGATTTACTGGAGTTCTAGTGAGAAGTCATGAACAGTGGAGTTCAATCTGTGTCGGAAGTGAAGTAGTTATCCACCTACGACAATGGATGAAGTGTTGCACAAGGTCATGGGTCGATTGCAATTAGACATAAACACCGTTGGATTCCAACTCAGTCGTCCAGATTTTATTCGTTCGCACAGGAGACTGAAGGTCCTGGGTTCTATTCCTTTTTGGTGCGGGATCGTGGATTCGCACCGTTGATGAGTCCGTCTAGTGCTTCCAGGTTTTCAATGGTGGTCTAACATTGATCAATTCATAATCTCAATCAAATGTCAACAATCTCCACAACCCTGATAGTTTTTTTATGCTTTCAATATTTAATCATGAATAATTCAATAAAAGTACATCACTACTGAGACTAAAGAACATAAGTTTGTATACGTCATTTATAAATGAACTTTAAACTTTGTATTCATCTGTGTTTCTGTTCTCATAGTATCTCTACTCGTTGAACAGTTCTATTTTTGGAACTATTACGACTCCAATTTGACTACTGGTAAACGACACAAACTATCCATCTTTTCTATACTGGTGGTATCAATAAATATCAACTATATTCACCATTATATTTCCTTTATACTTACTAACTATTCTACTCATCAAATCATAAATGGATGAGATATGACATGACTCAAAATAAGATAAAAAGAAAGCAGTCGATAAGCATTTATTTCACATTCAAACATTAGATTATGTAGTTAACTTATTCATCAGATACAGACTTTTGTACTTGGTTTAGAACAACTCTGAAAGTGTCAGGGTTAGTGATACCATATAAAGTAGATTTAGCCCGTTTTAAACCTAATACTTAGTGACTGAAGATTAAATGCATTAACCAATAATCAGCTGCTTTTTATACACAGATTTACATGTATACCTACTGTATATTGATTAGTAAATAAGATTTAATTCGCTTAGTAAATGATTAATACATATTTAATATTGTAAGAATGTAAACTAATTTTATGATGAATTATATACTTAGGTCTGTTACGTCTATTACGTCTGTCCATCGTATATGTTGAGGCTTACCGCTGAAAAGGTTACTTCCACACGGACTGTTTTGACCTGCATTTGTTCATGTGTATGAAGTAGAAAAGCTAGGTCATCCGCAATGTTCAAATCGTCCAAACTATCCATTGTATTCTTTGTTCCCACTCAGATGTCGAGATCTTCATAATCTAGTCGACCACCTGAAGGAAAAGGAAGGGAGAGAGTAAGCAGCCTTGTCTGTCACTGGTCCTCACTTCGAATGCATCTGTCAGCTGTCCTCTATGCACGACTTTGCAATGTAGTCCGTCGTATGAATTCCGTATGATGTCGACGATTTTCTTATCATAGTGTCGAAGAAGTTTCCATAATGTTCTCCCATCCACACTATCAAATGCTTTCTCATCATCAAAGTAGTTGATGTATGGTGACGAATTCCATTCGATTGGCCGTTCAACGATGATTCGTAGTGTTAAGATTCGGTCTTTGTACGACCGATCCTAACGAAATTCGGCCCGTTGATCTCGAAGTTAGGCGTTTACTGAGTCTTTCATCCAGTTCCGCAACACTCTGTTGCAAACGTTTCCTGGTACTGAAAGCAGTGTGATGCCTCTGTATTTTTCACATTTGTCCCGATCTTCCTATGGTGTTTTTGATGAGGCATCCTTCTTTAAAATCTTTTGGCACTTGTTCCTCCTCTCAAATTTTTCTGAATAGAATATGGATCATTTTCACAACTACTTATATTCTTGACATATAAGAAATTTTGGCTGGTATGTTGCCAGGTACTGCTACTTTCCTACTCTTGATTTGTTTGATGGTCATCTTGATTTCCTTGATCATTAGTGGAGTGAAAAATATGGGAAAATCTTTGTGTACTGCTTTGATGTCCAGTGAATTCAATGGGGTTGGTCTATTCAAGAGTTCTTCAAAGTGCTCTATCCACATGTTCAGCTGTTCTTCAATCTCAATGATTGTCTTGCCTTATTTGTCCTTGACTGGTCCTTCTGGTTGACGATATTTCCCTCACAGTTTCCCCATTGTGTCACATAATTGTCCGATATTTCCTGCCTTTACAGTTTTTTCTGCTGTCATTGCTAGATTTTCTACACATTTTTGCTTGTCAGCTCTAATCCTCTTCTTCTCTTGATCGTTTGCTCCTGTGTATTCAATTTATGTCTCGACTTTCTCTGTTTTTGTTAGGCTGTTGTTAATTCCTGTCTTCTTGTTCTTCCTTTCTTGAATCCTGTCCAGGGTTTCGGTAGAGATCCATTCCTTATGAAGATACTTCTTGCGGCCCAGAACCTCCTGGTATGTCGAAGTTAGTGCTTGTTTGATCCCTTCCAAGTTGTCCTCCATCGTAGTTTCTTCTTCTTTCAGTAGATCTTGTAAGGCTGCGAACCTGTTGTTGAGAGCTATCTGAAATCGGTTAAGATTCTTAGTATCTCTAAGTAAGGATAAATGAAACTTTTGAAATGTTGTTCCTTAAGCTTCAGTTTTTATCTTGGCGAACACCAGGTTATGGTCTGACCTTCAGGATTCCAAATTAGTATTTGTTTTGTGATGTAATTTGATAATTCCCACAACGTGAGTCCTATCCACCTTCAACGTCTACTCCTAATATCCTCCTCAGTTGGAAGCTGGTTTGTTCTCTGCCACAGTAGTTTGTTGCTGATGGTATCCGGCTAATAGATATTGAGTATCTTGGGTTGACAATTGTTTAAAAATACCTGTACTTTTCGGTGTTAGCTACTGTTGTTCTCCAGGTCTCGGATCTATACAGCAGGATCATTTTAACGTTAGTGTTAAAAACTCTGATTTTGGTCTTGAGTAATAGTTCTGCATTGGGTTTTTATAGGTAAGCTGGTCTATACGTCGAATGAATCTTTAACTAGCAGCCTATTACATTCAATATAATTCCTTTCTTCTTTTTTTGACAGATGCTTTGAAGATCCTAGGACCAAGAGTTTCCTATCCTGTAGGCGCCTTCAGTATTCGTTTTGACAGCATCAGGGCAACGTCTTGTATATATAAGGGATTTCCTTCTTTGTTGCCAAAAATAGCATAATCTCTACCAAAGCTAGTCCATTCTACCCAGCCTGCATTCAACGGATTTCACTTATATCATGAGCAACCAGGCTGTATTCTCTCATTACCATCAACATTTTAATGAATTTTCTGGTTTCTCACAATGTTCAGACATTCCATGTATCTACACTAATTGTTTATCTGGTTGTCGAAATGAACATCAGCCTCAGGACTTTTGACGAATCTCACCTTTTATCATGAGGCTTCATGACTCTTCTAAGTAAAGACCGTTCAACTCCCAAGGCAAAGTTGAAATGGTTAGAGAGATTTTCCTAGTTAGAGTTTCTTAGCAGGTTTTTTTAAGGGATGGGGAAGGTAACTTCATGACCAACCCACCTCCTTTACCTAGATTCTGGATCTTCAGTAAAACTAAAGGGTTTCCAGGGACAACCAATAAAGATTATGTGACAGTAATAATAATCTACAATATAGAAAAGAACTATACAATAAAAGAATTTACAATAATGCGATTAATTTTAACGTTATACTAAAGTTCTTAATAATTTGTCATGATTATCTAAAAGGTACCAATCTGTAGGTCCAAACATTTACGTACAGCTCAGACTAACAATCAATAAAATAATCGACCATAGTGATATCTCAGTCAGGTCCTCATTAACCTTTTTTGTTTGATAAAAGTACTTCTACGTATTCATTTTCGACATATTTATCGATCCAAATTTATTCTGGGCAAAACGCGATAAACTCACCTATCAATAGATTATACTGTGATGAATTAGGATTCAATGAAGCCAAACTTTATTTTTGTTCTTCCTGGTTATATGTCCGTCAGCTCAACCACCAAGTTCTGAATACCAGTTCATCATATAGTAATAACTGACCGATTCGTTGATTAACCGTTAGATATATCTACAAGAATCAAACAAGTTTTATACCATAAAATAAGTAAATTTAATGTATTAAATTACTGACTGGATTTAGTTAGATAACCATTAAAAAGCAGGAATCACTCTATTTCTATTTCATCCTTTCATAAGAATCATTTAAAATGTCCTCCCAAGATTTTACCAAGGATCAAAACCAGGACACTCAGAGCTTACAGCAAGAGTGATATTTGTGTTACACTTGAATGTTTGAGTATTTTCTTTTTCAACAAAATATATAGACTAATCTATTATACTCTTGAATTCTTCAAGTTACAAAATAAGTAAGCTCGAATTATACTTTATAGTAAAACCTTGAAATGTTTTACGTTTCAATTATTTGCATTGACCTACTGTTTATTATATTTACGGCCCTCAAATGCCCTGGTACGGCTGAGAGTGGAGAGAGTTCGCTCTCTCTCGAAATGCTCTCACATGGCCACGCGTATATAGCCTCTGCCGCGGAAGTCCTACTCACTGCCTTCTCATGGCATTATTGTTCTTTACGAAATTGAAAAAACGAAAAGCGAATGTACAACGCATTAACCGAGTTGATGGACACGGCGAGTCCATCTAGGGAAGTTGAAAAACCCTCATTCCAAACCAATGGTGCACATGAGCTCCAGTATCCTGAGGGAACAAATGGCGTATGAATCAATCGTTGGTGACTGGCTACCATGGGACTGCATCTCCTCATGATGCTTCACTGCCTTGTGGATGAGATCTTTAAATCAAAGGCTCCGGGTGTGGCCGCTTAAGAAAACCACGTCCTTCAGTTTGGGCATCTGGGAAGTATCACAGCCCTCACATAAATCAAATGAGATTTGTGCAGCGCATATGTATCTGGTGCTTCATTGTACCAGTATTTGTGTTTAAATAAAAAGTAAAATAAAATTGCATTGAAATATTGTTTATTATACTTACTAATAAGTGGTTAACAAATCATGAACTCAATGGTAATACTATTGTATTACCATCTTTCTCTTTGTCTTTGAATATTATTGCTGAATATTAAATAGAATTGACCATAGTAACTTATAAGTTAATGTCGATGAAAAATATCTGTTTACCGATTGTTTTTTTTACCTCTCATTCAACTTCAGCTGAGCATATTGGCTGTTATGAAGGCAATGGAGCAGATTATAATGGAGATCAGGATCAAACAACTGATGGACAAGTAAGCTGAAAATGATATTTTCCATATGATATTTTTTTGTTGGGGTTACTGGAGGATATTAACGTTGGATACTTAACATTTTATAATATTCGAGTAAAGTTTTTGTTACCAATAAGTATCAATCAGTGGTTTGAATTTAAAGCGTTAGTTATGAACGCTGCAGGTTTTGCGTTTGATCTCTAGTGGAGTCATCGATGCCCAATAGTTATATATTAGAATAGAAAAGCTGGTACCCACTGGCTCCTGGTTTTCAATGGATATATAATTAAAGTCAGTACCTTATACAAAACTTATAATTCTATACGTCTGAATAATGAAATACTAGAGGTTATGTTATACAGATAACATCCAGAAAGTACTTTATCTGGCAAAAGAATTCAAACAGAAATCTAATAAAGTGCATGAGCATACGAATATCTGTAACAATTTAACAACAATCTATGTATGTCTTTGAATTAGACTATGATCAATCTTGAAATGTTTGCAAAACATCTTAGCCAGTGATTAGACAGACTGTCAGAATTAAGTACTTGTCACAACAAATGTAATGAAATGCACATATGCCTTGTGGTACATTTGTGCATTTGTGGTACAAAGGAATCTGTCTTAAAAAGGTATATCTATATATGTATATGCATATGTCCATTTATTATCAATTTAAGCAGTTTAATTACCAAATAAAGGCGTTTCATTTTGGCGGAGTTTCGTTCTCTGTCCCTATATGTGGAGAAATGAGAATACTTCACTTCTACTTGAAGTTTGTGTTGATGATGATGTTCAAAAGAACAGTGAAAACTCTACGACTAAACCATCCATCCCAGCAAAAATGAAACTCCATTAAAATCATCCACCTGAGCTACGAATCTTCACAATCTCCCAAAGGTATCTTATACTTAAAAAAAACTCATATGTACTGAGTGGTTAGTCAATGTAGCATAGTTTTATTGTTGTTCCTACTTAGTTTTGATATGCATAAAAAAGTAATTACATCAACAATCTAGATATGAATCAACAACCAACTTTAAGGCGGAGGTTAGAGGTAGATGATAGAAAAACCTGAATCCAGGTTTCGTGCTATATGGCACTCGTCAACAAAGCGTACCTGTGATCTTCAGAGAACCGATGCTTCCTGGAGGCTTAGGTCTCGTGTAATACGTCTGCACAGTCAGAGACGTTACTACTTAGTTATCCGATCCGCTACTGGTCTCCTGTAGGACTGAAATGTACTTAAAACGGATTGATCACTGAGTAGTGACCAATTCCGCGGCTTAATGAAAATTTCTTTGATTGTGAAGTTGGGTTACACGAGATTTAATCCACCAGGGAGCATCAGTCCCCTGAAGATCACAGGTACACTTTGCTGACAAGTGACATATGGCATGAAACCTAAATCCAGGGTTTCCTGTCAGCTATTTCCAACCATCACCTTACATCTCAACATAGTGCACGCGATGTCGAGTTAACTAAACTATTGCAACTAGGAAGGACTTGACATACATGACAGTGGTCACTACCCAGTAATCAATCATTTGTAAACAACAAGTTTAGCCTAATAAATATATTTGTGAGACGTCAATGTCAATAAAGAGCTTGTTTTATTATTCAGCTTTGTTAACCCGACCTAGTCGGGTGAAATTTAGACATCAAAATAATAACTGAAAAATGTCGACTAGATTTAGCTTAGTTCAACTCCCAAAAAACACTGAATTTATTACATTTATGTTTTACAAATATCATTTTGATATCCAGTTTGAAGTTCAGCTTGTATCTGAAGTTTATGCCGATGATGTCGTTCAGAAGAGTGATGAAAGCTCCACGACCAACCCATCCAGCACAGAGAGCTAAACCCCATCAAAATTATCCACCTGAGGTACAAATCTTCTCCATCATCTCATTTGAATTTAAAGAGGCATTAAGAGATTTCTTGTTTATCAATGACATTATATATATACTATGCGATAACTTCATTTGGAAATCTATAGCTTCAATAATAATCATATTGATGTACAGTGTCCTAAAATCAATCCAAACTACAATTTACTTAAATCGATTGTTTTCATCTGAATCCTATCGATTTTCCATGTAAAATTTTGTTGCCGGTTAACATTAAAAAAAACATTTTGGCACTGTATTTAAAGTACAATGTCATCTATGAAATTACATTTTAATGATGGTCTAACTAAGGTTAATTCATAATGTAAACTGTAAAAATTTAAATAGTCTATGTAAAACTACTATACTGATAATGATTATGTACTCAATAGTGACAAATTTGTAGATGTGGTTCCAAGAGTTCTAGTGAAAAACCACGGCTAATTGGATTTAAAACACTTCAAGTGATGGAAGATAAGCGAACAACTTAGTCAATTCATTGAATTCGGACATGTACATTATTGGATGCTGGCTTAGTGGTCAAGAAGTTAAGCGGCGATCGAGGTACTGAATATCCTTAGTTCGATCGTTGTTAAGATGATGGATGAACAGTACCATCAAATCCCATATTAGTATAATATAGCAACTCAATGTTTCGTGATTTGAAATAGTAGTTCAATTAAAATTAATCTATGGTGTAAGCTATTAATGTTCAAAATTAGTCATTTCAACAATTGAATAGATTATTATAAACTATTAAACATGAAACCATCTAATAATGATTTGTACATTCATATGATAGTTAAGTTTGATATTTTCTGCATTAATTTCTATTTATTTAAACACATAAATATTGGTACAAGGGGGCACCAGACATATGTGCGTCACATAAAAAAATGTCATTTCATTTAGTTGTGTGAGGGCTATAATAATGCTCAGGTGCCCAGACCGAAACAGGTGGTTTTCTTGAGGAGTCTTTGACATAAAGATCTGCTCCACAAGGCAGTGGAGTATCGTGAGGAGATGCAGTCCCATGGTAGCCGGTCACCAACAATAGGTTCATACGCCATTTGTTCCCTCAGGATTCAGGAGCTCATGTGCACCATTGGTTTGGAATGAAGGTTTTCCAACTTCCCTAGATGGACTCGCCGTGTCCACCGACTTGGTTAAAGCACTGCACATTCGCTTTTCGTCCTCTCAATTTCTTAAACAACACCTTTTTTGCTTGAAGGCAGTGAGTAGGACTTCCGCGGCAGAGGCTATATACGCGTGGCCATGTGAGAGCATTTCGAGAGAGAGAGCGAAGTCTCTCAACTCTCAGCCGTACCAGGGCATTCGGGGGCACTTTTTATATTACAGTTGTAAAACATTTTCATTTATTGGTTAATATTTTTACATAAATCTAAATTAACCCAAGTTATTATATCACAGACAAGACTGGAATTCGTTTATTAAATTTATTCAACTTTATATGTATACATTGTATACCATTTATCCTTAGCCTTGTGCAAAATGGCGAGTTAGTAATTCACGTAAAGATATTGGCCCAATTTATCGATATCGTCTACAATATAATGAAACAACTAGTAAATTACTAAGCACCTCCGATTCTGAACTTGATAATTTTCGTGCATGTCGAAATCCAGGCGGTGTAAAATCTCAACCATGGTGTTATCCAATTAAAGTTCGTGGTGTTTCTTCTGGTATACAACATTGTGATATACCAAAATGTTGTAAGTTCTTTCTTTCTTTCTTTTCTAAACAGTAATTTTTTTTAATTGTTGAGATCATCAGTTAATAGAAGCTAGACCAACCATGGAAAACTTGGAAGCTCTGGACAACCGTTTCGACCTAGTATGAGACTCAGCAGTGCGCATCCACAATCAGCCAGACAGCTTTAATTGACTCATGAATTCAACTATTAAACCACTACATTCTCTACAGAAAGCCCCCTTCTGAAAATAACAGTTTGTCTAAAAAATTGAAATGACAATTTTTTTTATCCTACTTACTTACTTACTTACGCCTGTTACCCCTCTTCGAGGAGCATAGGCCGTTCACCAGCATTCTCCATCCAACTCTGTCCTGAACCTTCCTTTCCAGTTATTTCCAGTTACTATTCAGCCTTTTCATATCGGCTTCTATTTCCCGGCGTAGTGTGTTCTTTGGCCTTCCTCTTTTCCGCTTCCCTTCCGGATTCCAAGTTAGGGATTGAGTCGTGATGCACATTGGTGATTTCCTTAATGTATGTCCGATCCACTTCCAACGTCTTTTCCTAATTTCCTCTTCAGCTGGAAGCTGGTTTGTCCTCTCCCATAAAACGCTGTTGCTGTTAGTATCCGGCCAGTGGATGTTGAGTTGCTGCTACCTTGACGTGGTGGTCGGGCTTGCCTATCGTGATGAAGCAATCGAGCTATGCTAGCTGGAACAATCGTTCCTCGAGGTCCTACCATGCCAGACAGGTCGGTTGAAGAGCGGTGAGACTAAAAGCAGCAAACCCAAGGTCCGAAGGCGAAGTCGTACTGTCGACTGTACAGAGGTGTGACAGCAGTAAGGTGTTCCCTTCAGACAACCAGCATGACAGCGATGCTGCCTTCCCACAAGGAGGGGTGGGGTTAGAAAAGGTCGGCCCTAAAAATACACACCTCGCCTTATCCCACGGATATCCGTCTCCGGCGGTAAGGTTTTTGTGAAGAACGGAGCTAACACAAAAACTACCCACAAAAAGGTCGTGTGTGACCGACCTCAAGCAGTTGTCCCTTGGGCACTGCGGTCACGCTCTCAGGTCATTAAGATCACTTCTAACCCAATTTCCTTTTCAGGTACCCCCAGGAGAACCCTTTCACGGTGTGGCAACCGGGAAGTGATAACTGCCCTCATACCCCTAACATCACTTAAGACCACCTTATTCATAATCAATCTCCTTCATTTTCCACTATTCCTTCTATCTTGACTTTCAACACTAAACTTCCTGTTCCGGTTTCCTCCTCAAGTGTCACCATGGCCAACGATTCTAGTGCGCGAAACGCTGTCCCAGGTCTACTTAAACCTCTCTCCAAACTACACATTGGAGCCTTCAACGTACGTACCCTATGCCAAATCGGTCAACAGGCCTCCTTAGCTAAAACCCTAGAATCTCGTACCATTGATGTATGCTGTGTCTCCGAAACACGCATACAGGATCCCAGTGTGGTCATTCACTTGACCTCACCTCGCCAAAATGGACAGCCAAAGAAAATACACCCTCCGTGTATCTGGCGACCCGTTGGCTAGTTTCTCGCGGACTTGCAGGTGTAGGCATAGCACTAAGTACAAGGGCAGAACAGGCATTATTAGAATGGATCCCCGTTAACAGTCGCCTGTGTGCTGTCCGGCTGAATGGCTCGGTAAGAACTCGGAAGGATAGGGACATACGTCGTTGCCTTTTCGTCGTTTCTGCCTACGCTCCCACCGACTGCAACCATAATGAAGTGAAAGATGACTTTTACAGAAAGCTCTCTGAGCTTCTTCAGAAAGCTAAGCGCTCAGACATAGTAGTCGTAGCGGGTGACTTTAATGCCCAGGTAGGCAGCTTGAATCAAACAGAAAGACATTTAGGTGGGTGTTTTAGTATTCCGGCTCAACGAACCGATAATGGTGATCATCTGTTGCAACTATGCTCAGACAATCGTTTATTTCTAGCAAGCACTAATTTTAAACATAAGGAGAGACATCGTCTAACATGGCGACCACCTGCACCAAACCAACGATGGACTCAAATAGACCATATTGTCATCAGTCATCGTTGGAGAGGCTCAATAGAAGATTGTCGCTCGTATTGGAATACTTGTTTAGACTCTGATCACGCTTTAATACGAGCGCGCATTTGTCTGCGCCTCAATGGACGCAGGAAAAGTACACTAAGAAGACCCATTAGGATTGAACTGGAGGATGAGAAAGCCAAATGCGAATTCCAGAAACAACTAAGTTCACATCTAGGCAGTTCTGTAAACAAGACTGTCACAGATGCTGCTTGGAAAGACATACGAACAGCTGTGGAAACAGCAGTAACATCTATTAGTCATTTAAACCATAGGGCTCCAAAAAACCAGTGGATTTCTTCTAAGTCTATTTCACTGATGGATTCGCGTAAACTCATCCCATCAGGCTCTGAACATGACGAAGAGCGTAAACAAATTAGATCTAGGTTAACTAAAAGTCTAAAGAATGATCGTGAGCAGTGGTGGGCAACGAAAGCAAAAGAGATGGAAAAGGCAGCGGCTGTGGGGAACACCAGGCAACTATTCAGACTAATTATTATTATTATTATTATTATTATTATTATTATTAGCTTTATTCAATATTATATATTATGGTACAATATAGAATTCTCAGCATAAAGTACTTCAACAAGTTTCCGTTTCTTACTTCTTCGTCCTTCCTGACGTTGAATATTGAGTGATCGCCAGTTAGAACTTAGCAGGCCAATCAATCGACATCTGGATAATGTACGTTCTTGTCGCTGCATATTGCCAGCAACCACGATATCTCTGATTAAGCCTTCTGTAAACTTTACAGCGAAAGGTCTTACACTTTTCAGAAACGCACCTGAATAGGTTGTGCGATTAATAGGCATAATGATGTATTAAAACAAACGAAATCAGATAACTGTTTGAAATATCTAGATGACAGGAACAGGTAGCCCAGATGTTAAAACAGGCCGCCACGAGATCTTATTAATTAAAGAAACCGGAATTAATAAGTCAAGTGTAAGTGAGACAATTTTGGAAAAAGATGGAACCCTTATCTGCTCTCTACCCAAACGTTTAGAACGATGGGCGGAACACTTTAAGGAGCAGTTTAGCTGGCCTTCAGCTACTGCACAACTACCCACTATTCCTAGAAAACCTGAATGGAACATTGAAGTAGGCCCCCCGACCCTACTTGAAGTTCAAAAGGCTATAGGTAATCTGAAACGAGGAAGAGCAGCTGGTCCAGATGGATTGGCTCCAGAGGTCTTTAAATATGGTGGTCCGATTTTAGCGATTAGGTTGACTAATATTCTGGCTAAAATCTGGGAGACGGATGTAATCCCATCCGACTGGTCACAATCACTGATTGTCCCAATATATAAAAAGGGGTCAAAATCATCCTGCGATAACCATAGAGGGATTAGTCTGACCAACATAGCATCTAAAATACTAGCCTCAATAATTATCGGGCGCCTAACTAAGACTCGTGAACTGCAAACACGAGAAAATCAGGCTGGCTTCAGACCTGGTCGTGGCTGTATCGACCACATATTCACCATTCGTCAAGTTTTAGAGCACAGACACGCTTATCGGCGTCCGACAATGATAGTTTTTCTTGACTTTTGACTCTGTATTGACTCTGCATTTGACTCTGTAAACCAAGAGGTTCTGTGGCAGTGTCTGTCATTGAAAGGTGTACCTGAGAAGTACATAAACCTTGTGAAGGCTCTTTACTCGAACACTATTAGTCGAGTGAGAGCTTATGGCGAACTGTCATATGATTTTACAACCTCAAGTGGTGTCCGTCAAGGCTGTCCACTATCCCCATTTTTTTAACTTCATTATAGACCTGTTGCTGGAAATAACACTCTCTTCGACTGAATTTACAGGAATTGATCTCCTACCAGGGGGACCACTAAGCGACTTAGAATACGCAGATGACATAGTCCTGTTTGGTGAAGACGCTGGCAAAATGCAGAGTCTTCTGTTGGAACTCAGTAATAATGCCAGGATGTTTGGGATGCGATTCTCCCCATCCAAATGTAAATTGTTACTCCAGGACTGGCCTGCATCAACACCTGAACTAAGGATAGGGAGTGAAGTAGTCGAACGCGTCGACAACTTCACCTACCTTGGAAGTCTGATCAGCCCTAATGGGTTGGTGTCTGACGAAATCTCAGCACGGATTCGAAAAGCTCGTTTGGCTTTTGTCGACTTACGTCACCTATGGCGAAGACGAGATATCCGTCTATCAATTAAAGGACGAGTATACTGCGCATCAGTTCGCTCTGTTCTACTTTACGGTTGTGAAACATGGCCATTAAGAGTAGAAGATACTCGTAGGTTACTAGTATTTGACCACAGATGCCTTAGAAATATTGCTCGCATCTGCTGGGATCACCGGGTAAGTAATAGTGAGGTTAGACGCAGGGTATTAGAGAACGATGGTAAATCAGTTGATGAGGTGATGAATCTTCATCGACTGAGATGGTTGGGCCATGTGTTACGTATGCCTGAACACCGATTACCACGACGCGCTATGATGACTAGTGTAGGGGATTGTTGGAAGAGAGTTAGGGGCGGCCAAACCAAAACATGGCATCAGTGTTTGAAGTCACTAACTTCTAGTCTGAGCAATGTTGACAGATGCAGACTACCTGGTTGGGGTCCGCGTGACTATCGTAACCAATGGTTGGAGACTCTAGGTGACATGGCTCAGAATCGATCACAATGGCGTAGGTGTATACACTCTTTATCTTCCTTTAAACCTTGAGACTAAAATTGCTTCATATCTCTCTTCCTTCCTATACTATATCCTTATATACAACCTATAATTTATATACTACTACCACCACTACATTAATTACTTCTATGAATCCGGTGTTCATCTTGTTGTGCTAACGAGGTATGGCAACTTGGACCGATGCATAAATGTGCCTGGTCCTACGTTGTAGCTGACTGACTGACTGACTGTTGAGTATTTTGCGTAGACAACTGTTTAT